GACATGACATTTATTGTTATGCACCCTCCGGTCTGACTATTGCCTATGTCATTCTCATCTTCGTTATCCGGCTCATCAATCATTACTTTCTCAAACTATTTTTCGTCGTTATCATCGGAGACATCTGTACGATTAGTAGCACCCATTTCATCATATTCCCGGATAGGCATTTGTTAAATTATTGGTTGATAGACATCATCTTGATCACCCAACTCAATTCATGTCTCACCAATTTCAAAATTTTGACCGAGTGAATTGTTGATTGAATTCCCACCGTATGTCGCGGTTCTAGTGCTTTGTTGGGTGTAAAAATACTGCACAGACTCATCCATTACCGGCATCTCCACAAGAGTTGAACATTCACCCGTCACACCAGAAGTTGGAAATGTCAATGGACTCATCTCTTGCCTAAACAACTCAGTGTAAGACATGACATTTGTTGTTATGCACCCTCCGGTCTGACTACTGCCTTTGTCATTCTCATCTTTGTCATCCGGCTCATCAATCATTACTTTCTCAAACTCTTTTTCGTCGTCATTATCGGAGACATCTGTACGATCAGTAGCACACATTTCATCATATTCCCGAATAGGCATTTGTTAAATTATTGGTTGATGGACATCATCTTGATCACCCAACTCAATTCCTGTCTCACCCATTTCAAAATTCTGACCGAGTGAATTGTTGGCTGAATTCCCACCGTATGTCGCGGTTCTAGTGCTTTGTTGGGTGTAAAAGTACTGCACAAACTCATCCATTACCTACATCTCCACGGGAGTTGAACATTCACCCGTCACACCAGAAGTTAAAAATGTCAATGGACTCATCTCTTGCCTAAGCAACTCAGTGTAAGACATGACATTTGTTGTTATGTACCCTCCGGTCTGACTACTGCCTATGTCAGCATTTATGTACTCTGTCTCCACGTACAAAACAACACTAGCAACGCTGGGATTGTCAAGTACCACATTAACCACGAAAGTCACTAATTCATCGTTGACAATTTCTAGACCGATATGTATTCATGTTTGGTCCTGTTCTAAGTGTGAAAGGATATCTACAAGTCAACTTCAACTCGTTATGCGCCCTGTCCAACCCTATTACAGTGTAAATTTTACTCAACAACTCCGACAGTTGTGTACCACTATTGATAACAATACCACCTTTGGAAGGACAACTGTATGATAAACCCTCTGAGTCATACTTCATTCGTCCACCCCAATATAACAAAACGGTAACTTGTTTTCCCGCCATTTCAATTAGTTTCAATTGTGGAATATAAGTTCTGAATTCAAAAGAACCTGAGAACAGATAGAAACGATTAATACTTGAAGAATAGATATAAACCATGTGAATCTACCGCATGCGACTTAGAAAAATTTATCAATTAAAAAACATACAAGGATGTAGTGTACTGAATCAGAAGTGAAACATGTTATTAAGCAGCCAAACAATGTAGGCAATTTTTTTGGCTAACAAGGCAGTAATTGAATTACATTTACAACTCTGATAATTATCAACACTATCCAACTCAAGGATGACAATACTGGAGTTACTTTGATTGATTCAAAATCAACATACTTATTTTGAAGTAAATGTGGTGTTTGATGCCTAAGAGAAATATATATTGAACTTCGATTAAGATTGATAGAGACAGACATGAAATATAGATAATATGAATTTTTTTATTCTTTTAAATTAGAATTTTATCTTTGTACAAAAGTTGAATTACAAAGGACTTACTTAGATAATATTCACTGTAATCAAAAAAGATAAAATTTGATACATCCTTATGTAACAAATTACACAAGAAATTTTTTCAAGAAAGATGTGAATTTTAAAAGATTGGTCGACGAAATTTGAACCGGAGAGTAAATGTTGATATATCCCATAACAATATTTTTTTGTTCTGGGATATATCACAAGCCTAGAGATTAGACGGGCAAGTCTACCTACATAGTGGAAGCAGGGTATATGCCATCTTTTCACATAGGAATGAGTAGATGCAACTCATAATCTGGCTATGCATTTGTTGCAATGACACAGTTCAGAATTATTTCATTATTTGCATGGTCAATTTTATTTCGCTTCAAATAAAATTTTTTGCCACATTATTCGTAGCTTTGATATATTTGCTAAGCAAATGACGGTGGAAATTACTGCTGGATTCATCAGTATCTGGATAGGAGATAGATTTGATGAGTTGAAGCGAAATTGAAGTACATTAGAACTGTTTCGTAAAGTTTTGAGGCGTTCAAAACTATCCTTCATATACATGTCGCTCGGTTTTAGGCTCCTATCTATCTATTTGTAGTCAATATATAACACAAAAAACAACGCCAATATAGTTCATAACCCAGGTATATCAGTAGATAAGCCAGGTAAATATCAACTGTCCAGTAAAACAACTGCAAGTCACATATCTTAAGCCGAAAAAAAAAAGAAAACAACAGTAAATATCAAGAGATAGCACTAATTAATCAATCCGAAAAACATACATCCCCATAATGTTGTACCAATCATGAACAAAAAACCCACTGTGAAAACATGGACATTAGATTCACAACAAACAACAGTGGCAGTGGCGAGGGTAACATTACAATTTGCAATGAAAGAATGCACTTTTGGAAAAAAATAAGATAGTTCGGAAAATATAACAGAGTTGGAGACAATCAAACATTGAAGTGGAATTTAGACTGCAGAAAAGTCTAAAACTTCATGTTCTACAAAATATTTCAAAATTCACAAAAACATCACTGTGACAGGGGTCTCCTTTTCCTAACAGTAGCAATTTGTGATTCTTTATGCTATGGATCAAAAAATCAAATAATTGGTGTGAACTTTGAAAACCCAAACAGAGCCATTAAAATGGGTGATGATGGGGCTGCCGGTGGTTGTTGGCAGCGGAGATGGAGAGAGACCATTAGTGTATAGATTTGATGAAGTGGTGTGGGGGTGGTGGCAGTCGGTGATGGTGCTGGATTTTGGTGGATGGCGGTGGTGTGTGAGAAGAATCAGAGAGATGGAGGGAAAGTCACCTTACCTAGGGTGGCGATGTCGCTGGATCTAGATTTCGATCTGCTGCTGCTGCTGGTGGTCCTCGCTGGTGTAGATGGGTTGTTCCTCTTCTTTCGGTGGTGGGTTATTCTGGAGGTGCACCTGAAGGAGGTTAGGGGTGGTGGCGTTGTCGGTGGTGGTGGTGGTGGCGGCGGCTGGGTCGCCTATGGCACAGAGAATTTAGGAGAAAAAGGCAGTGATGGAGAGTGATGGAGAAAGAAAGAAGAGGGAAAGATGGGTATTGATTTGAACAAAAGTGGTCAATGCATTTAACGTTTTTTTATAGAAAACGTCAATTCAACAGACGTTTTTAAGTTGCTGGAACACAGTGCAGTGTTGAGAAAAAACGTGAGTTGGTCTGATGACATTTTTTGCGCAAAAAATGTCAGATCAATTAACTGTTTAAAATGCCCGGGTTTGAAAAATATTTTAAAATCAAGCCTTCATTGAAACTTTTTTTTAAAAATTTCATGGATGGATCAAAAGCTCAAAAAAAAACCGTTTAAAAATTCTCTTGAACAAAAGATTTCACTTATTAAAATTTCAATGAATTGATTAAAACAATAATTAGAATATTAAAGTATCGGAATACCTTTTTAAATTCATACGACAATTATTATTATAAATCTAATTTTTAAACTCAATTGAAAATAAATTGAGAAGTAATCCAATTGAAAAATTTAGCAATAAAAATACGAAAACACCAATATTTATAACCAAGATTCTATCTGAATAAACCTAAGAATTCTTTCGTAGAGTACAATGAATCAAACTCTCTAGCAAATTAATTCCAGTCTTATTCACATAATCCTCAAGTTATCTTTTGAAAGTTATATTAATCAAAAGTGTGGAATATCCAATTATTTGATTCGCAAGAAAATTTAAGTAATTCGATGTATATGGCATAATGAATTAAGAATTTTTACAAAACAAAAATTTTACTAAAAGATGAAAATTGAATTAATAGAATTAAATAAGCAGTTAAATCTTTAGATTAATAATAACACCGTATTTCATTGAAAGCTTCTCCCTAGATTTAGTTGGACATTTTAGGCAGATATAGTTGTAAATACCATAAAGAATAAAAATAAACATCAACACATAAACCTAGTAATCTTTTCTTATTTATATCTAGTGAAAACAAAAACCAATTAGACTACGACGCAAAACATATAATTTTGGGTAGCTAATAACACGCGTCCGGACGCGTTCAAGAGTATGCTTTCCCAATCCTCAATATCTCCATCCTCCCACATTCCTATTCTGGACGCAATTGTAGCTTCCGTCTCGACGCGACGAACTACAACCTCTTCCTTCCCTGACAACTGACCCGCACCCTTTAATGTATGATTAATCCTCCAATTCACTCTATTTACTTGCAAAATGAAAACATTCCATAGGTAGAATCAAACTAAAACCCAAATAAATTGATATATTTAACACTCTATCCAACATAATTAATCTCTGACAACCACCAAACTAATACATTATCAGAGTCTAATTAGTTAACACCTTCTTGATAGGTCTGAGATGATATGGATTCGTCGATTGACAAATTAGATCTTGGCTTGCTGTTTTGTAAATGCCACTATATTACCATTAAGACTTTAGATCATTCTGCAAGTCAAATCTTTTAAGCTTCTGTGACTATAGTGCTAACCCCTAAGCATGACCACTTAAATCTGATGTCAAAAACAACAACACAATCCAGCAAGTTTATTAAATAGACCCACTTATCTACGAGGCAAATTTAAGATGTCCAAAAAATTGTAACTCTTTTAGAAGCTTAGAAAGTAATGTAAATATGCATGCAAGAATTCATCTAATCCCAAATCATAACAACTGCTATAACGCCCACGCCAACGACCACAGCAAGCAACTTATAAAATGGGGTATCAAAATAACAGTAAGCTTGTGGTTGAAACCCTTTAGCTATGAGATGGTTAACGGCAACATAGACGAAAAACACCACAGGCATGTCCCATTGAGATGGCATTAATCCAATCAGCTGTACGGCCTTGAATCGTGGGGTCAATGGCGATGCCTATTCCCACTCCCACAGGGCTTGAAATGGCAAATGCGAAAGAGTAAGACGCTGTTGAGTTACAAGGATATTGATTGTCCACAGGTTTCTCCATGCATTCGCCTTGGCGTATCCGAGAACAGTATTATATAAACAATTCAAGCTCAGCATATTACTTTTGAGTTTGAGCAACGTCCAAAGGTGATACAATAATTAAAGGGTGATTATACACATGCACATCAAAATTGCGTCGTAACCACGAGTCCGAAAGACACGAGATTGGACAATTCAATCAAGTTAACAAAACAATAATGTTTTGTTATTTATCTTTCTTTCATTAACGAAGAAAGAAGAAAATTCACATAATGGTTAGGTTCCAAACTACACTCCACCAGATTCTTGATCATACTTTTAGAGGCTTTTATATGTTACTGAAAATGTTAAAACGTCAATCAAGGAGAGTTGGTACGACCAATACTACTTCCATTCTGTTCAAGTTAAACTCCGTGATTAGCCAAAACAATCTTCAAGTTAGATAATATGCAAGAATGGGTTCAGTGATCGAACAAGAAAGGAGACCTAAAAGTATGTATTATTTGATGTTAAGTTTGAGTCTTATAAATGCATTCATTGCACATGGAAAACAGTCAAAACTAAGTAGCTAGCAAACTGATCTACCTTGAAAAACACAAGAATTGATCTATACTCGCTTACCTGCTACTCCAACAGCCGAATGCACATGGAAAACAGTCAAAACTAAGTAGCTAGCAAACTGATCTACCTTGAAAAACACAAGAATTGATCTATACTCGCTTACCTGCTACTCCAACAGCAATACCCTCAAAAACCGAATGGAAACACAAGGCAAGAATGAGAAGTATGGTGTCCCCCACTGACGTTGTCGACAGACTCGACACAAATACTGGGTTGAGATCCATCCCCATCTCCTCTCCACGACCCTCAACCGCCACGTCTCCTCCTCATGCCTCCGCTTTAGCCTCTCTCTGACTGCCCTTCACCACATAGGCCACCACACAGTCACCCAACATAGTGAAGCCAACATAGTGAGAAGATAACCTGCTGAAGCCAACATGAATGAAAGCAGTAAAGTTAGATTTTTTGAATCAAATTTAGAGTCCAAATGACATGAATAATCTTTTGCGAAAACTTTAATTCTTGATGTATTCAAATTGAATTAGTTATGTTAGTTATAAAGGAAGTTGGAATGTGATATAAGAGGTGGATATGACTTCCACATCTTCTTCTTTGCAGTACAGGTTTGAGTTTACAAGAATATGTACTACACACCAGTTGTACAGAAGCGGTCATCGGACCTCCCTCCACCAGAAGAATAATGGAAAAATTCGGTATTTAATTATCGACGTTTAAACGTCACTAAAATTGACGTTTGTTTACGCACCTAAAAAATTATTAATAAAAATAATAATTTTTTTTTTTTGGCTTAATTTCCTACGTTTAAGTCAAATGCCACAAAATCTTAATTAAAAATAATAATAAAAAGAAATTGTTTCCTTCCCCAGCATAAACCCAAATTTTTTCTCAATTCATTCTCTCGACTACTCTGGCGACGACCTCACTAACTCTCTCAGGCGACGACTCCTCGTTGTCCCTCTCTCAAGTGACGACTCCTCGCCCCTCTCACAGGCGACTCCTCTTCAGCTCTCTCTCAGGCGCCTCTCTGATCGTTTTCTCTCTCTCTCTCTCAGCACGCATTGTTCAATAATCTGTAAGTACCTTTACTCATTCTTAGCTCCATTATTGTGTTTTATCTACCTAACCTAATTACCATTTCGCTTCTTGTTGAATTTGTGAAGGTTTAGTTTAATTTGGTATAGATTATTCTTTTATTTTTTGATTCTGATTTAACTGTGGATAATTTTGAATTCATACAGTGTACTAATATATTATGCTTTGGTCCGTAAATAGATCTACCAAAACTATCATGACCTCAAGGACTAAGAATAGATCTACCTGTTTTCAGAGTATACTTCTACAAAATCCACAAGACTGACAAAGCGCTTGAGGTTTTACATCCAGTGGGCCTTTCAATTGTTAGAGGGTTCCATAATTTTTTCTCTCAAGGTGAGCTGCTTCAATTTGATTGATAAAGACTATAATATTGTGATTAAATTATCCATAAAACCACGAGGGATTACCTTTATTCATATTCATACTAATGTGGCGTGAACTTGTGAACAAGTGAAATTTCTGTGGAAATTATGTCAATTCATTATAGGCTATGATTGTAAAAAAAAAGATCTACCTGGTCAATCACACGTGAATTACCTGGTCCATCCCTCTTCTATGCCATGGATCTGTCCACCACTTAGATTTGAAGAAGCAGAAGACAGTGAATAATCTCCACCGAGATTTGAAGACGCAACTGCCATGGATCTGTTCCTCCAGGTAATTTTTTAGGATCAAATTACAGTATTCATGGTATGTCCATGTGCTGTTGAACTGATGTTTAGTGGATTGAATTGAATTGATTTGTGATTCTGTGGTGCTGTTATTTTTGTAACTATTTGCTCTTATTTGTTCTACTTGATGCCTTTCATTTCAAATTGTTCTCCCTAATTCTGAAACAGTTCATGCATTTTTTTGACAGAAAATTTAATTTTCTGGTTATTAGGCTTAGAAAACATTTGGTTTTCATTATTCATTCTTTTTCTTCTCTCTGTTTTGCTTTTATCTGTGTAGAGTCCTGTCTTTATAACTTGTATGATGAATATTCACAAGTATGTAAGCATTGACCTACAGAACGCGTTGATACCTAGCATATGGAAACATGAATCCTCTCATATGAGGTAAGAGCTTTTAATTGTATATAAACCATAGAAAACGATGAAGCGACAATCCTAATCTGGGAAACTTTGAGGAAAAACTCAATCACGATATGATACAGCTGATCATTATATTACGGTTTTTCAGATGATTACTGATTATTTATTTCTAATTGCAAGAATTCTTTTGGTGCTTAATTTTCAAGAATTAGATTATGTGATGGTTTACTTATTTTCCCCTTTAAGTATCTGGAAGGTATTACCTGACGAACTTTTAAGGGGTGGTCATTATATGTGGAGGTATACTGCCTATAGGTATACTCTCTGAAACATCACACGAAAGGATTTCCTAAGAATGTTAGATGGTTGGAATGATGGTCTTTAAATTGAAATGCAGAAAATGGTCTTTAAATTGAATGATTGTGTTAAAAGATGGTCTTTTTATTTGATGCAGTAGGAGCATGTTTGTATCTAATGCTCATGCTCATGCTCATGCTCTTAATTAATTATGCTGCTTGTCATTAATTTAGGTTATCCCGAACAAGTAATGCAGATGGAGAAGCCGGAGAAGTCTACTCTGATGATTAAATGCTTATCTTGTTGCATTTTTGTCGCTAAATTGGTTGGAAATTTTTTTTATACTACTTAATGGAAACGTGGATGTAAAATTTTCATGACTTGCGGCTGATTATGCAGTTATGGCTTGTCTTGCTACAGCTTTGAGATTGAATGTGATTCCTTGGTCCTTGTTAATTCTGCTTTGGGGACTTACAGTTGTCCTTCGCCTTGTTTGAATTTTATGATGAGGATTAGGGATTTTTTAAGTAAGCTGGATTTTCATTTGGCTCAAATTTATAGAGAAACTAATTCAGTTGCAGACAGTTTGGCTGGTCAAGCTGCTTCGTTGAGAAGGTCGGTGGATTTTTCTGCTAGTCTGAGATTGCCCTGTGAGGTTGGTCTGGCTTTGTTTCATGCCTTGAAGGGGATGCCTATTTTGCATAAGAAGAGGCTGCTGGTTTTTGATGATAAGGGTCAAGTGAGAAAGGGTGGCGTGTGGTGTGGTGAGGTGTTGACTGGTTTTCGTATAAAGGATTTGGATGTTCCTACCTAAGTATTAGTGTTGATTTGTCTGAAATTCAAGGAAGGGGATGGCTTTGCTGAGCAAGTGGGGGGAGTGTCTGTGATGGGAGGTGCTGTTTGGTTCTGCTGCTCTATGTTTTTCGGGAAGCTTTTTGGATCTTTGGGTTGTTTTGTTTGTTTGTTTCTGTTATGAAAAGGTGTTTGGCCTTTTCTTTTTCTTTGCTTCTTGTAATTTATGTTTTGAAAATAAATAAAATTTTATTTTTGTTAAAAAAAAAAAGTAGCTTGATTATTCATTTTTCATCTGGTGGAGAATCTCTGAATATTTAAAATTCTCATTCTAGTGAAAATGCAATGAGCTAGGTTTTATTATGAAAAAAAAATATTAATTATCATTACTGGCATTTAAAAAATGCCAGAAAACTAGTTGTAATAACAATTATTGGCGTTTAAATAAACGCCGTAACATAGTTTCGGTCATCAAAATTTTACAAGAAAGTTGTCGATTAAATAAATGTTGCTTCAACGTTTAGTAAATGTCACTTTAATTTTTTTTTTAGCGTTTAATTATACCCTGACAATTTTTTCGACGGAGATTTTGACGGCATTAATAACTAACGTAAATAATAATATTTTACGGAATTTATTTCATTTTATTGTCGTTTAATAAACGCGCGCGAGCCGGACCAAGCCATTCAAAAAATATTCTGATTTTAATATATTTCTTCAAAGAAAGGATGGAATGAAATCAACTATAAACTAATATCGGTGGGAAAATACTTCGCAATCATATTATAAGAAGGAATTTCTATAAAAAATCATATGACAATATTTTTTAGTAAATTATATTTCAACCCCCCAACTATAATCCTTTTCAAATTGCCTCTTAACTATTGTATTTTTTTACATTGCACTCTCAATTATGTGATCAATTATTAACATCGGTTCCAAATTTGACGATAAGTTGTATCATTTTGCCTCCCAAATTACGTGATTTTTTTGCACTTTGCTTCTACACGTTGATTATTTATATCCAAAAAGATAACATACGTATGCATTTAGTATAATATGAAATAATTCAAGTAGTTGAAGAACAATGTGTAACGAGACCATATAAATTGGGGACATTATGCCCCAAGCTTCATACTATAGGGCTCTGGAGTTGTATACATGCCATGGATTGTACAAAAACAAAACAACGTACTCAGAGTCTGTTTGGTCTGTTTGGTATGTTTTTTGAGAAGGATTTGAATTAGATTGTCCAAACTCAGGTTTGATCAAAGATGGAATTCAAATATAGGTTTGAGGGAGTTAATGCTATTCATACCCATGTTTAGTATTATGATAAGATATTTGTCTTTATTTGATAATTTTGCCCCTTAACCAATTGAATCCAAACCCATGTTTGGTTACGTACATTTACTTGTGTTCTTATGTGTTAAATATATGATAAATTTTTTTTTTCTAACTTATGAAAAAAAACCATGAATATTGATAAAAAAAAAATTAGTATTATTCATAACCATAATAAAGGGTAAAAAAACATTAACCCAACAAAAAAGTGCAACTTTCTAACGTTAACTTATATGGGGATACATACAAAATTTGTCCATCACAAATACATGAAAATCAAGAAAAGCTCGGTGGATCCATCTGTCCAATGCAACTTTAATGAACAAATGAATGAAAGATTAATTGATAGAATCCTACCTATTGTATGTCTATATTAAAAAAAAAAAAAGAACTGTAGGTAGTGAGGAATACAACAAAGGTATCAGCCATAATCCTAGTATTAGCAAAATAAAGTATCAAGGAACTTACAACAGAAATTTTTGAACCAAAATATTTGATTTCATTTACCTTCTCTTGATCGAACAACCATAAACAGCTTTTCTCGGCTTTTAGATATGTTGCGATCAAACAACCTGAGGGGTTTATATAGGGCAATCGAAACTTTGCTAAACTATGATTGACTTGATAGGGCGAAGGAAATCTTTGCAACAGATTTCCTCAAATATTTTTTGCAGATCGAAGAAGAGGACCGACAAATTTCTTCAATCGTTTCCAGCAAAGAGGATAACAACCTTCTCTCTCTGCCCATTTGGTCTTTCTCAGAGATTTCTCAAATATTTTTCGCAAGTAGTGTATTTGTGTTGGAGTATAGATAGTCTAGGTTTATTAGGATTTCTTTTCCTAGGTTTATTAGGATTTCTTTTCCCTTTTTTACCTTTACTATGATTTTTATATTTTGCCTATATATACGGGGTTTTACTCTTAATTTGAGTATCTCCTTTTACTCACAATTATTTCAAGTTGGTATCAGAGCTAGGTTAGGGTTTGGGGTAGGGTTAGTGTATGGCTCTACCAGCCATACCGTCGAAACCGCCCTGGCCATCAGCTGCCCAGCGAAACCGACCAAACCAGCGACAAAACCAGTCCACCGACTGCCTATCCTTATACCAGTCCACCACAACCTTAATCCAGTGGTTAGGGTTTCTCTTTCTTCAGCAAACAACCTGAAAGTGAATAGGAGAGGTTAAAGTGACGGCGCCGTCGCTGTCCGCCTTGATCAAGTCGTCGCTTCGTCTTGGCCCTCGTTTTTTGCCCAATCTCTTCCGTTCAATTTTAGGCCTTAGTCTTGTACACTCTGTTGAATCTATACATATACTTATATCTTTGAAGCTCAAGCTCATCAGAATCAATGGCGGTGAAAACATCGAAGGCCGAAAAGAAGATCGCTTATGATCAGAAGTTGTGCCAGCTTCTTGATCAGTACACCCAGGTCCTCATCGCCGCAGCCGACAATGTCGGATCGAACCAGTTGCAGAATATTAGGCAGGGACTTCGTGGAGACTCTATCGTGCTGATGGGAAAAATACTATGATGAAGAGGTCCATCAGGATCCATTCTGAGAAGACCGGCAACAAGGCCTACCTCAACCTTATTCCTCTGAGGCTGCCCTGCTTGCAAAACTTTGGATAAGACCCTTCTCTTATGGTCTGCAAGTTCTGTCTGTTTATGACAATGGTTCAGTTTTTAACCCAGAGGTGCTTGATCTGACTGAAGATGATCTTATGGACAAGTTTGCTATTGGAGTTTCCATGGTTACTGCCCTGTCACTGGCCATCTCGTATCCAACACTTGCAGCAACCTCAATCCATACCAGTTCAACCAGTCCATACCGATCCTCACCTGCACTGACAAATACCACCGACAGCAAACAAACAACCAGCCCATAACCATATGCCAAACTAGCCCATAATCATATGCTAAACCAGCCCACTGTCCAACCGACTGGCCATATATATCCTGTCCCGCGCCCTTTACCCATTCTCCATATAATAATAATAATAGATCCAACCCAATAAACCCAATAAAATCACTCCTACTGCTAGATCATTGTCCAGCCCACTGCTGGGTCACAACTTTCGTTGTGATTTTATTCTAGGACTTTTTTGGGGGGGAGCGGATCCTCTTTTCTGTTGATCTGCCCTTGATGCAGTAGATCACTTATTTATATATTTTGGATTTCTGGGCACCGTGACTTGATTATTTGGGAGCTTTTTGGACCTTCCCTATTTGTCGCTACTGTTCGACTGAAGGTATATTGTTCTCCCTTATTTTATTCCTCTATTTATCTTAGAGTTATTTTTCTGTCGCGGGTGCCCTAGTATTGTTGTTGATATGACTACTACTGAGGGACTTGAGAACCCTACTGTTGACACCTTTACCGTTGAGACAATCTATAATGAATTTTGATTGTGAATTGAGTTGAGTTTACTCCTCTTGTTCTTGATTGAACTTTTGAACTTATCAAAGGTAAATCACATCCTTTGTGGCGTTCTTGCTTGTAATTTGGGTTCTTCAGACGGGTCTAGATTTTTAATATAATCTAGGTTCTTGGAACGAGATCTCAACGGGTCTAGTTGCATTACCAGCATTACCGGGCATGATCTTTCAAAAAGTTACGGCACAATTGTTGAATGGTCGTAACTTCGCTGAGTGGTCACGCTCATTCCAGCTTTTCTTAGGCCGTGTAAGGAAGCTTGGTTGGCTGACGGGATCTCACCCAAAGCCAGCTGATGCCGACCCTGGATATTCTGCATGGTTCTCTGAAAACTGTGCCATTCTTGGATGGTTATTTGGCTCAATGGAGCCCTCTGTTTGCAAGATCCACCAGTTTCATAGCTCTGTTCCAAAGCTATGGAGCGCATTATCAGAGATGTATTCTCAGTCAGGACGGGGAGTTCGTGATTATGAGCTTTCTCAGGAGCTCTCATATGCTCGGCAGGGAGATATGACCGTTCAGGATTATTATGGCTATTTGACCCAGCGCTGGCTTGAGTATGAGTCTCTACGTCCTCTTACTGCTATTCCGAAGATAGAGCCCGAGGGAGCAGCATTCTTGCATACTCGAGAGCAGGAGGATAGGTTTCACAAGTTCCTTATGGGGCTTCGTGATGAGTTTGAGGGACCTCGTTCTCAGATCTTGTCGATGTTGACACTTCCTTCTATTATTACTGGTGATGATGTTTCTGGGACTGCGCAGGTCAAGATAGACCTTGGGAAGACCTTCGATGTGAAGGATCTCAGACCGGTTCTCTAGCCTGTTATTCAGATTCAGATTATGGGGGAGCATGTGATGGTCGATCTACTACGGGTTTCTGTACTTTTCGAGAGACTCATCTTATCTCTTGGAAGAGCAAGAAGCAGACAGTTGTCTCCCGCTCGTCCGCAGAGGCAGAGTATCGGGCATTGACACTTGGCACATGTGAGATTATCTGGCTACGATCGATTCTTGACGAGTTGGGTTTTTCAGTGACCTCTCCATCCACATTATATTGTGATAATCAATCTGCTATTCAGCTCGCTTCTGACTCTGTACTACATGAGAGAACGAAGCATATAAAGATCGATGTTCACTTTCTTCGGGAGAAGGTCAGCAGTGATCTTGTTACTCCATCGTTTGTAGGGACCAGTGATCAAGTTGCGGATGTTTTTACCAAACCTGTCACTCTGTCTATTCTTCGGGACTCCGTTGTCAAGCTTGGCTTAGTTGACATTTTTGCGCCTAGCTTGAGGGGGAGTGTTGGAGTATAGATAGTCTAGGTTTATTAGGATTTCTTTTCCTAGGTTTATTAGGATTTTTTTTCTCTTTTTTACCTTTACTATGAT